GCGATGTCTGGAGACATCTTTGATTGTCAATCCTTGGAGGCAGGGGTGCTGCCATCCACTGGGGAGAGGCCAGTGCTATTGCTGAGCAGCCCGCAAAGCACAGGACAGCCCACAAGGACAGGGTGATGGCACCGAGGCTGAGGAACCCTGCCCAGCAGGACGGGGGGACCTGGAGGGAGCTCTTTCCTCATCTGTAGAAGCAGGTATAAACCCTGCCCTGCCTACCAGATTCGGGAGTGCAGCAGCCACTGTGCACTGGCTCACCCCACACCCACTCCCAAGCCCTCTCCCTTGTCTTCCTCCACCACCGAGGCTGGGAAAGCAAAGCGCCCCATTTCCCGAACTCCTTTACAGCTAGGGGTGGTCACGTGACACCATTCAGGCCAATGAGACAAAAGGAGACGTCTACCCAGGGCTTTTGGGAGAGCGCTGATTTCCTGATAAAAGGCACCATGGCGGGCCATGACCCCCTCTTCTGCCCACCTCAAACCTGAGGTCACAGGAAGTGGTGATCACCCTCTCATGACATGAAGCCACAAGCAACAGAACAAAAGCCAACACACTAAAGATGGCAGAGCCCGGGGTCCTACCGCCTCTCAAAGGATGCAGTTGAACTATTCCAGCAGCCATCGACCCCTCAACCTCTTGGCATGTAACCCTTATGTTTTTGGTTACTTGTGGCCAAATGCCCTCCTGATGGAGAACTGGTCACAGACCCTACTTTATAAAAAAGATCTAAGGTGAGCTGCTTTGGTTGAAGAAGGGGGACCCAGAGCCCAGCCCTCTAGCCACCATCTCAATCCCAAAGATGACCCCCAGGCCCCTCCATGGAACACCAGGGTACCTTGGCACTCAGTTTGAAAACCACTGCTCTTTGAGGAAGTGCTTTGTAAGCACCACAGAGATGCTGAGAATCGTTGCCAGCTGAGTGGATGGTACAGCCCCTGAGCATCACTGTCCCCATTTAATGGTGAGGAAACGGAGCCACAAGCCATTTCCCGGCTGCCCAAGGTCACACCACAGGTTCATGACCACATGCTTGCCACGGACACCACTACCCCTGCTCCTTGCCGTGGCATCTCACACTCGGTCTCCTTGATCAGCCCTGGCTGGCCTTTCCTCCACCTCCCAGGGCTCTGCACACCAGCTGGCCCTGGACAGACCCACCTACAGAACCCCTGCTTCCTGTGGGAGCGCCTCCCCCACCGGGAAGGAGAGCAGGGGAGGGGCACTCACCTTGGCGTCTCCAGGCAGGCAGAAGGGTTTCTCTGCAAAGGGGAGAGGGGACAAGTCAGGGACAGTGTCTTCCTCGGGCCACGGCTGTTCTAACTAGGAGGGCAGCGTGGGGCCCAAGCAGAACCGGTGGGAGTAGACTCAGCCGAGGGGGAAATAATTATTTACCAGACAAGGCACACAAAGGCCCCACCCCCAGCCCTCCAGCTGGCTCTGCACTACTCCATTCCCTTCTATCCCCCCAACTGCTTTCCCCCCAAACTCCGCACCTTGGCTCACGCCTGTCCTCTGCTGAGCACGCCCTTCCCTTCCTGCACACAGCCCCCCATTAAAATCTTACCCAGCTCAAACCCCACCTGCCCCCGAGGCCTGACTCCCCCCAGAATGCCCCACAAGAATCCTGGACTCCTCCCCCTGGGACGCCCTCATGGAGCCTTGCCTTTCAGTAGCTAAGTTAGCAGAAGTGCCCTCTCCCAGGCTCTAAGCTCCTACAGAGTCTACGGTACCCAGCTCTGTCTGAGCCCTCGGGCTATGCCCAGGCCCTGACTCACAGTAGGCACCCAGCTTCCTGAACAAATGGATCCAGGGAAAAGGAACGGAATCTTACTTTTCTTCTGGGCCAGGATGACACAGTTCAGCAGCCCTATCATTAGCAGTCCCAAGGCTGTCACACCCACAATGAGTCCTGGAAGGAAAGGAGGAGCTCAAACCAGCTGCAGAAAGCACACCGACTTCTACCAGGGGCCTGGCAGGTCCGTCGGTGACCAAAGATGGCTGGGGCTGTCCCAGGTGAGGGGCAAGCCCAGGCCAGAGGTCCGGCATTCAATTACAACGCGAACAAACCAAAAACTGTGTGCCAGACAAGCTCGAGGGCCACCAGCTTGACCGTTCCAGCCTGGTGTCGTCCCTACCCCAGATGGACAGCCCATGAAATGACATGGCTCAGCCCACTATCTTCACAGCCTGACGGTTCATCAGAACCAACAACCAGGACACAATGAGATAAAAGCTGAGCCCAGCCTGGCCAGCGTGGCTCAGTGATTGAGCATCGACCTATGAACCAGGAGGTCATAGTTCAATTCCCGGGGAGGGCATATGCCTGGGTTGCGGGCTCGATCCCCAGTGGAGGGCGTGCAGGAGGCAGCCAATCATGATTCTCTCTCATCATTGATGTTTCTCTCTCTCCCTCTCCCTTCTTCTCTGAAATCAATAAAAATATGTATTATTTAAAATTTTAAAAAAAGCTAAGCCCGCCTCTCTCGACTCGGGGTCTCTCAGTGACAGGACCAGGTCCTGGGAGGAGACGAGTCTCACTGCCACCTGCCTCCCGGGACGGTGCGCATCCAGCCCACAGCGGGCTCTCGGTGAGTCTGAGGTAGGAGGGAGGAAGGATGAATGGGCCCTCTTGTGACTTACCAACTGGAAGAGAGATGTTCCCGGTGCTGAGCCCTTCGGCCGGGGCACTTGGGACCACGGGGAGCAGGACAGACATGCTGGCAGTTGTACTGGGTCCTGGAGTGGGCTCCATGGGTTGGGATTTTGTGGACGCTGCCTGGGGCTTGAGGGCTAAGCTTGTGGTCACACGCAGGGAGGGGAGCACAGGCGTGCAGACCGCGTCCATGCTTGCATTGCCAGGGATGGCCGTCGACTCACAGCTGGGAGAGGAGGCGCTTGGTCAGGGGGCCGCAGAGGACAGGACGGCTCGGGGTGGCTGGGCTCCCTTGTAGGAGACAGCTCAGAGGGCAAGGGTCCCAGCAGCGTGGATGAGGGAGTGAGGACGTGCCTGCCATCTTTTAGGACCACCCCTTCCTCGCCTCACCCGCCCCCTTGTCCCCATGCTCCCCACTCAGTCTTGACTTCCAGGGCAAGGCTACTGTTCGCCATGCTGTCCTGGGACCCGCCCACCATTAGATGAACCCGTCCTGGCACTGAACAGGCCTCGGCAACCCAAGGGCGCGAGTGGGGGTTTCAGGCACCATGACACCACCACTGTGTGTTCTAGACCCTCCATCACCCGGGGCAGCCCCTCCCTGCTCCCCCAGAACCAAGGGGCTCAGCCACTCACAACCGATGGGGCCTGCAAGTGTCTGTGGATGACGCCGTGTCTGAGAAGGTCCCTGGGGCACAGGCAGCACACACCACATTCGATGTTGGGGTTCCTTCAAGGAAAAATTGGGACCTGTCACCAACTCAGATGCTCCGTGGGACAGGGAGGCCTTGGCACTGAAGCCCTAGGGGAAGTCAGAGGACCCGTAGAACTGTCTGCACCTCTACCTCCGAACACACACACACACACACACACACACACACACACACACCATGCACGCACATGCGTGCCCACAAACACACAGCTAGGGAGTTTGTTCTTTAACCAATTATGGTGACTTCCTGGTCTCCGGGGTCACATGGGTTCACCTTCCTGGGGCACCACCTGATTTTCCAGCAGCTTAGGGATTAATCTGATCCGTCTCTGGATCCCCAGGGCCTAGCACACAGTAGGTACCTAATCAGGCACCTACTGAATAGCAGGCCACCACTGACAATGTTCCCAGGCTGAGCTGAGGAGCTGATGCCCGTGAAGGAGAGACCCAAGGGGGACCCCAAGGCCAGCTGCCCGACCCCGTACCTGGTGCGACCACACCGAAGCCAGGGGGGCACTTGCGCAGCGGTGCGCACACCTGGCACCTGTGCTGGCTCTTCAGCACGCAGTACCAGCCGGGCCTGCAGGCGCACACACGGTTCTGCTCCCGGGTGCAGGCTTGAGCTTCTACCAGTTCTGGAGGGGCGAGAGGGCGGACCAGGGTCATTCCTGCCTCCACTGGCCCTGCTCACAGCCATGCCACTCTGCCCTCCCAGCCAGCCCACCACCCTCAGACAGCTCTGCTCTCCAACAGGCGATGGGTCCCTCCCCTCCCCACGGAGTTCCATGGCCTGCAGTCTCCTTCCGCTCCACGGCACGAGCAAGACACAACTCCCTCAACGCTACAGCGGGCACAGTTCTCCCACTGCGGCTCTTGGCCGGCCCGCCCCATGGGGCACTGAAGGGGATTCAGTAAGACAGGATGAACATGCTCTGGGTACATAGTAAAGAACTGTGTCCACGCAACCTCATGCCCCAGGGTATGGAGCAGCAGGTCTTGGGTAACCCACATCAGCTTTCAGCCAAAGGGGCTGGAGTCCAGGTGCCCAGGGGAGGATGCTGGGGCCCACCCCTCGCTCTGGGGCTACTCACCAGAGCTGCAGCGGGAGCTACAGCTCAAGCACTCGGGCACCCAGTTCCAGAGCTCGGTGTACATGCTGTCCTCGCAGGGGGCACACACGGTGTCTGAGGTCTTGGTGCAGGAAGACTGGACGTGGTAGCCTGAGAAAGCCAGGGCCAGTGGTCTCAGGGGAGTTGGCTGCTGCCCGGACCCTGCGCTCATCCACTGTTCCCCAGAACCCCAGCGATCTGTAGTGGAGCTGCGAAGGCTCTTTGATGGGGTTCCAACTCCTCCATCGACTCATCTCACATCCAGCAAGTACCAGCTGCCACTCCATCTCTGAACCCCCACTGATCATAAAATATCCTCCCCTCTGCTCCTTCCAGATGCCTGGCATTCCACCATCAAAACCACCTGTCCATTAGTCAGTCACACTTTAGTGAGAACTGGTTTGCCGGCCCCTTTCTTCTTTATATTTGCCTAAAATTCTCCACCTGGGGCCATCTAAGCTGAGGTCTAACAGATAAGTAGGGCGTTTCCAGGGAAAAGGAGTTGGGAAGAGGGAACAGCATATGCAAGGCCCCAGAAGCAAGAGGGACAATAAGGCTGATTCACGGAACTAGAAGGAGTTCAGGAAGAATTGAGAGCTATGACCCTGCCCGCTCCACCCTCACACACACACTCCCTCCCAGGCACCAGCCCCCAGGAACCGGGCCAGGCTGAGGGCCAGGGCTCCGGGTGGTCCCTCACCAGGAGGACACATGCTGCAGCACATCTGGGCCCTCTCGTCATAGTATTCTCTCCGCTGGCACGAGCTTCCGTCCTCCGGGGCGTAGGGGGTGAACACTGCCTGGAAGGGGGAAGAAGGACAGCCATCAGCTTGGCCACGCCCGACACCCAGATCCCCATCCTGTGTCCCACAAGCCCCTTCTGGGGCTCACCGATGGATGGACGGAGGACCTGAGGACTTCTCCCTTTGGGTGGGGGGCGAGGGGAAAGTAGAAGGGAGAGTCCCTGCCTCCTTTCACCTCCCCTCTTCCCCCCTCAGTGTGGCACACCCATGTCTGCAGGTGGAGACACTGAGCCAGCTGGCCGGAGGGTGAGGCTGGCCCCCACCCCTACACAGGGCAGTGCCCCAAAGGCAGTGGCCTCAGTCATGGAGACCCACAGTGCTCAGCACAATGTGGCCCTCAGCCTAGGATGCCTCCCTCTCCCTCCTTCCCACACCTGGGAATCGCCCCTTTGTCCTTCCAACCAACTACTGCCTCCTCCGGGAAGCCCTCCCTGACTCCCCCAGGCTGATTCAGGTTCCTCCTCCTCTGGGTTCTCTCTGAACGCTGGATGCAGCCCCTCCAAACAATCATCTCATTGTGCTGAAATGGGGTACCTACCTCTCCTCCCATTTTGCATGGGTGCATGTGCACGTGTGTGCACACACACCACACACACACACACACACACACACACACACATGTCTGCAATACACAGGGCAGGAGTGATGGCCTCACCGACTGGACCCTCAGCTGCCAGCATGCAGCCCCCGGCAGAGCTGGCGCTCAGCAGATGAGCATTTGTGGGTGACAGTAACAATGGCTACCATTTCCCGAGCGCTGACAGGTTGCCAGGGGTGGGTCTACGTGCTGCAGGTGCTCTAGGCAGACCCCCTAGAGCGCCCACCCCCCAGCTGCCATGGTGCTGCCTGAGAGTGACCCGGCCTCCAGGTGGACGGCTGCTGTGGTGGAGTTCACGCTCCGCTCCCCGCCCACCCTGCTGCAGCTGAGCCCTCGGCTGGCCTCTGCATTGAGAACGGAAACCCAGCTCCTTCCCTGCTCGGTCGGCCCAACTGGCAGTCCCAGACCCATCCTGGCTCCTGGACAACCCCCCACCCGGGGGCCGGGGTTTCCAGCTGCCCCGCAATCTACAGCTCCTCCCCCACCGCGCTCCTGCCTGAGCTGTCACCTCCGCCTGGAACAGCCTCTTGCTTCCCCTGACAAAACCCACTGTCCCTTCTGACAGCAGCCTCTGCCTCAAGGCTTCCCTGCCCACACCCCACCCTGAGTAATCACTAGCACCCCGAGTCCTGACCTTCCTCCCTCAGGGTCCTGGCACACAGGCCTGTACCCACTAAACGGACGCCCTCTGAGGCTGCAGGCTGGGGGTGACGCTGCTACCACCCAGGGCTCACTAATCCAAGCAGCAGGCTTCACTCCAATGTCATTTCCCAGAGGGATCTGAGCCTGCACCAGGACATGGAGCCCCAACATGGGAGCACCCACCACGCTGCCAGCTGAAGTCCTTTCCCCCGCTCAGCCCAGGCCCAGGCCCTCACCACAGGTAGTCAGCTCTGGTGAGGGTGGGAGAGAGTCTAAACACGGAGTCTAAAAGATAACTTCCATTCCCGTCCGGGCTGTAAGCTCCCATGCCATGGCTGCACACGCATGCACACACATGCACACGCATGCATGCACACACACACACTCCATCCCAATCCTTCCCTCCGCCCGGGCCTGGGGCAGGCTGCCAGGCACCTGAATGAGGGGAAAGCAAGGCCCCATATCAGGCTCCACACAGCTGGGGCGGGCTCACTGCCAGCGTCCCAAGCCCCTGGCCTCATGCCGACTCCCACCCAACAAACAGGGCACAAGAGGCTCAAGGGTGGGCCCAGGAAGCTGTGAAAAAAGAAAAAGAAAACCTCCCAGGTGATTCTGATGCTCTTCTGCCCAACACACCTGTTAGCTGACACCCAGAGGCAGAAGACGACCTGGGGGAGGGGCACACGGAGGAGACCCAATGATCAAAGATGGGGGGGCGGGGGAGCCCCGCAACCAGAGAGCATACCTCTGCAGCTCCCTTCGCACTGAAGCGGAGGGCCTGACTGTCCCCCATGGCCCCCCACATGGCCTTCCCTGCAGGCTGCTGCTGTGCGGAGCTTCCCCCAGGGAAGCAGCTGTGCCCGCCCCTCAGAGCATGCCCCAGGCGGGCAGGGGCCAGGCAGGGTGGCCCAAGGATCTCATGGACCCTGCATCCCCACGAGCATCCAGGCAGTAACTAGGGGAGCCCCTCATTCCTGTGGGGCCAGAGAACCACAGGACCAAAGGGGCTCCCGGCATGCATCCCAGGGAGGGCTGCCCGGCTGGAGGAGGATTTCCTGTCAGGCCCAGAGAGCCTGATGGGAAAGGGCCTGCCTTGGTCAAGTTTGGGCTCTCTCTCCACCCACAGGCCAAGGGTTCCTGGGCAAAGGCAGGCGGCTGGACCCCTACGGCCTCTAGCCACTGCCCAGCAGCCTCCCCTCAGGGTCCAGTCCTGTCTGAATCTTGCTCTCACTGCCCTTCCCCACACTTCCTCCCGCTGCTCTGTGTGAAGGGGGTGGGTCCTCTCTTGAGCAATTTCTAGGCCTGTTTATCCTCTTGGACAGAAAAAGAAAAAAAAAAACCAACCCACAGCCCTGTCATGGCTAAACAATGAGGAACAGAAAGCCCCTGGCCGAGAGGGACAAAAGGTCACTCCCAGCACTGCAGGCCCCAGAGCAGAGGCGACAGCCTCGGAGCCAGGTCACCACAGGGGCCACACGGGCGGGGGTCCCTGGAGGTCCCCGGAACGTGGCGAGAGCCTCTGGGAAACGCGGGGCGATGGAAGCTTCCAGTTTCTTTGGCTGGTGTTGGGGAGGCTCAGAGCCAGGCACCACCCACCCACAGGGGAGTGCTGACTGACATTTTGAAATGAGGAACTAAGTGGAGAGTAGTTGATTCGCTCAGCATGTTTAGCAGATGCAAGCTTTCAAAATACAGGGCCCAGGAGGAAGCTTGGCAATCACTGATGAGCGTTAACCACCCATGTAACAGGTGGGCAATGGGTGCCCAGTGGGGGTGGCGGATTGGAGAAGATAGATGATAGGTAGGTAGGTAGGTAGGTAGATAGATAGATAGATAGATAGATAGATAGATGATAGATACATAGATAGATGATAGATAGATAGATGATAGATGAAGATGATAGAATACATAGATAGATAGATAGATAGATAGATAGATAGATAGATGATAGACAGATGATAGATACATAGATAGAAAGATAGATAGATAGATAGATAGATAGATAGATAAGATAGATAGATGATAGATACATAGATAGATTGGTTGACAGGGAATGATAGGTGAAAGGGTGACAGATGAAAGGAGGATAGGAAGGAAGAAAGGACGGACCATCTAACATCCAATTTGTGAGACAGGTCTGATTGTGCCCATTTCACAGATGAGGAAATGGAGATAGAAAGAAGCAAAGCCACCTCCTGGTCTCCCCAAGGCTCGGGGCCATCCCAGGGTTGGTGGAGGCTGAGGAGGATGTGCACATGAGCCCGTCAGGGCCCACCCCTCACCCACCAAAGAAAGGCCTCAGAGCTGCCTCACATCAGGGTCTGTGGCCCATTTCCCCTTTTTAACATGGGCCTCTGTCCTCCTAGGACGGGAGTCACCTGCACTGAGTGGTGGCCCTTCCGGGAGGGAGGAAAACAATGGGCCATCTGTTAAGCACCTCCCAGTGTGCCTAGTAAGGTTGCAGGCGCTATACAGAATCCCACTTCCGCCCCTAAAGTCGCTGGGCATGTGCCGACTTCACAGCTCAGGGAGGCCGAGGCCAGATCACTTGTCTGAGTTCATCCAGGGAGGAGGAGGGGGAGGTGGGACTGGGATGTGACTCTTGCTCTGTTCCCACTGGAGAAATCTTTGGTCCCCTCCTCAGGACAGCTGAAGGAGGCAGCTCTGGGATCCACCCTCCGCCTTCATCCCTGAGTCATTGCAATGCCACCAGCCCCCGCCGTCTACTTCTCTGACAAGCAGACACTGGGACTGGCTCCCATGGACACACATGCTCTCTCGCCCAGGCGCGCACGCGCACACACACACACACACACACCAATGCAGGGAATTCCTCTCCGTCTTAGGCCAACAGCCTCTGACCTCAGCTCTGTCCTAGGTTCCCAGGAGACCCCCCGAAACCACAGAACCAGCAGGCAGGGACACTCAGCACCTAAGACCCAGCTCTTCCCAGAACTGCCAGTCACTGGGCTCCTGCGAGGGCCCATCCTCGGCTGGCAGCCCCGCAGCAGGAGCAGGGGCACAGGTGCAAAGGTAGGAGTCTGATCCACAGCTGTGCCAAGTGCTAGAAAGATGCCCGGGAGCCAGCAAGGGGGGTGGAGGCCCAGAAGTGGGGGTGGGATTGAGGTGCAGCAGCTCAGGAGCCTTCAAGACATTTCAGCGTCTTCCCATTTAATAGTGGAGAGAGTCAGGGGCAAAGGCGGAAACATACATTCATTCATTCATTCATTCATTCATATGTACTGAGCACCTGTTATTCTAGGTGCTGGGCAGACAGCATCGAACACGTCCACGTCCCTGCCCTGGGGAGCTGAGCTCTAGTGGGGAGACTGAGACACACACGGTAGAAATATGTGAGGTGGCAGTGGGAGCCCAGGAAAAAGGAAAAGCAAGGTGGGGCCAGGAGCAACAGGGAGAAGGTGCCGGGTGGGCTCGGTGCAGCCGGGAAGCCAGGGCAGCGGGGCCGGAGCAGGCGAGGGCGAGGGCGCTGGGAGACGAACACAGCAGCATGCAGCACCTCCTCCTGGAAGCTGGCTCCCAGCAGGCACCGTGCAGCGTCATTTACGTGCGTCCCTGTCTCTCTGAGTCCCCATCCCAGCACTGGGACGTGGGTATGACCACTGTTCCCAAGTCACATGAGAAAACTGAGCCTCAAAGAGGCTCCTCACCTCCGGCCTAATTTCTTCCCCAGCATCAAGCTGACACACCTGTGTGTCCCCCAAAGACCCTCCCTCCCCTCCGCAGATACCGCCTCTAC